AGGATAGAAAATGTGAATACACGTTAGGAAGACTGTTTTTATGACCAATGTAGTGATAGCTGAGACTGATTCCTAATAGGGCTGAACAATTAATTGCATTTCCAATAATATTGCAATATGATAAAATGTGATTTGCTAAGTGTTGAAAGAATGTGCCGATCAGCTCTGCGAGGTGCTGGCAGACATCTTTAACACCTCAAGTACCCTGGAGACAGTTCCCACCTGCCTGAAGACTGCCACCATCATCCAAGTCCCAAAAAGCTCTACAGTGACTGGTCTGAATGACTATCAGCCAGTGGCCCTCACCCCGATAGTCACTAAATGCTTCGAAAAAATGGTCATGACTCACATCAAAACAACCATCAACATCAACGAGGACCCTCATCAGTATGCATACCGTGAGAACCGATCAAAAGAGGATGCCATCTCCTCTGTGGTCCACACTGCGCTCAACCACCTGGAGCAGAAAAAACTCTTACGTCAGTATGCTCTTTGTGGACTTCACATCCACCTTCAACACCATGATCCCCCAAACCCTGATGGACAAACTATTCACACTAGGACTAAGCCCCTCCGTTTGCAACTGGGTACTAGACTTCTTAAACAGACCACAGTTAGTGAGGATCCACAACTTCTCCTCCTCCACCATAACCCTCAGCACTGGCTCTCCTCAGGGATGTGTGTTGAGCCCCCTCCTGTTCACTCTGCTCACATATGATTGTACAGCTACCCACCAGGCTGTCACATTGTAAAGTTTGCAGATGATACAGCGGTGGTGGGATGCATCACAAACAATGATGAGTCCAGTTACAGGCAAGAGGTGGAACACCTGGAGAGCTGGTGCAAAGAGAATAACCTTTACATCAATGTGAAGAAGACAAAGGAGATGATTGTGGACTTCAGAAGGAACAAAAACATCTACACCCCCCTGAACATAAGAGGATCTGCGGTGGAAGTGGTCTCCAGCTACAAGTACTTGGGTGTACACCTGAATAACAACCTCAGCTGGAGCAACAACACCACCAGCCTGATCAAGAAAGTTCATCAGAGACTCTACTTCCTCAGACGGCTGAGACGAGCTGGTCTGGAAGCTCAGTCCTCACCTCCTTCTACAGGTGTGCAGTGGAGAGCATCCTGTGCTCCAGCATCAACGTGTGGCATGGAGGCTGCACAGCTGCAGAAAGAAAAGCTTTGCAGA